CCGCCGCCGGCTCGGTCCCGCCGCCTGCCCCTGGCCCCTCTCGTTCTTCGCCTACTTCTGCGCTCTCCCCCTGTGCCTCAGCCTGTCCGGGACACGATCCGTTCCGCTTCCCACCGTATTCCCCCTTTCCGTCTGTCTCCCGCGTTCCCTTAGCGCCCATCCCTGACTCCTTGTCCGTCTTTTTCTTAGTTGTTGGGCAGGTGTGTGAAGGGGCCTCAGGACTGTGGCGGTTCGAAGGTGCGAGTGCTTCACGTCCTGTTACAAGCGGGGTAGAAAGCTGTGTGTGATAAGAGAGCGCTGAACGTGAGCTGGAAGGAGGTTTTGGGGTTGCTTCTGCTTTTAGTCTGCACTCTGCAACAGTCTTCCTCTACTGATCGATGGTCGCTCAACTCTAAAAGGCTGAGTGGTTGTCTTGTTGTCTTCTATGCACTAATGAAGTGATAAGTAGAGGCAAAAGAAGATGTTGATGCTGACAGATCTCTGTTTGATAAGGCTCCTGGTTGTGCTTTGCAAGAGCGTTCTGTCACCCTCTAACTGTATTTGAGAAGAACTAGTTCTTTGGGGGTGTTGATGGGAAGTGGTGCAGATCGTGGCAAAGATCTGCAGCTCCGGAGTGCTGCTGGTCGTTGTGTGTTAAATGAAAAGCTGCACATTTGTGCTGTGCTGAAGGAACTGCGTGTTTGAGGCCATGCTTCTTAAGCACTTCCATAGAGTTTGTGAACCACTCTGTAAATCTGCAGAATGAGGTTGTTAATTTTGTCCCTGTTGTCAGCAACATACACAATATTTTGCCAATAGAAACACTGGAAGAAATGTTAATAAAGCAGTATATAACTAGGACCAGCACTACTGTGTTCCTGTTGCAGTTTAGGGAGCATGCCAAAACTTTGCAGGAGTTCCCCTTCAGCCTGGGGGATCCAGTGAATGCCTGGGGGACAGTCATGACTTAATTCCTAGGGAGTTTTCCAGGCTGTGTAGTTGTCTCATAAGCAACCATATGAATCTTGTTCTGCTTCAGGAAAAGTAAACTTTTCTCTGAAGCAATAAATTAGGTTTGTGCTGCTGGTGACATTATTGTTTTGAAGAATTTGTGACCAACAGTTAAGTGTTGGAAGAATTTCTCCTGGGGCGATGCTTTTCCCTTACATAGAAAACTTTCAAACTGTCTTCAAGCAAATGCTCCCAGCAGCCAACATTACAGCCTCTAGTTGCTGTTACGACGTCTCTTAACCACTTAGATCATCACTAAACCATGTTTGCTGGTTTTTACAATCAAAATGGGGCATGGTTTTTATTCTGTAGGCATTTTGCGTGAATTGCAACACTGACCTACCAAGCACTGTGGAAAGCAGAAGTACATTAATGCCTTTGTCCACCTCCTGTATAAACACAATCTTTATTGTTAGAGCACAGTCTCTCCCCTTCTGCTTCATCCACTGCTTTACAGCTTTTGTGTAAACATCAGGCTCCCACAACTGTGCCCTTCCACAGTGAAATCTCCCTCGTAGTGTTCTTGCCCTTGGCTCCTTGCTTGTGAGTGTGCTTTGACACCCTGCCAAGGTAAAGGCCACAGCTTTGTGTGTTTGATATTTGGTTTCTTCAAACAGGCTGCTATTGCTTAAAGGTAGAATAGCTTCATTCTTGTGTCTTTGTAATTAGCGTGTTAAGGTGCTGTATTTTTTGTTGCCAGAAAAGCAAGCTACAGTCTGAGTGCTTTTCTGCTCTGAAAATAACTTTTTATAGAAGCATACAAAATTATTTATTTATTCTGTATTAGAGAAATTATTTGTTTGGATCTTGCTATTTGACTAACCTTGCCAGGGGACACTCTTCCCTAGTAGCAATTGTTATCAACCTGATTGTGGGATATTAAAAAACCCCAAAACTATTAATGAGATATGCTTTAAACAAACAAATTAAAAAACCCAACACCACAACCACCTCTTGCCCCCAGCCTACAAAAATTGAAGTTGTAGAAGACTGATGGAAACAATTTGCAGAGGTTTACACAAGTAGCTGGTAGTTGAAATGTTTCACTTGGCCAAAAATAAGGTTTTTGTTGTCTTAACATTTGAATGCTGTCATACTGAAGGATAATGCAAGGGCAAGCTGTCTGGGAGAATGAGGAAACTGGTATAAACAGGACCTTTGTCAGGCACACAGTTAAGTGTAGTGCCTGTGAACAACAGGTGTCAAGGGGAACTATCCAACTGACAACACTGGGGAGCAGCTTCTAATTAAGTGTATGATCTTCCCAATTAAATGTCTTCCAAAAGGGAAGCAGGACCTCTCCTATTTTGTGATACCATCAAGGTTACTTTTTCCTGTTAAATTATTATTTAGAAGATTTTTTTTTCAGTGGCTGTTTGAAAATACTTGCAACTTTTTAATGTGGGCAGGTCTCAGGCTTCAACTGCTCAAGTTGTAAATACCTTTTACAATAATTCATTTATCCTTGAACAAATTACAAGTCTCACTCTGAGTCTCACACTAATAATAGAATTCCTTCCATGGCAGGTAATCCCTCTGATGGAATGTTCACTGTGTTGGTAGCATGCACTCAGCTGGATTTTGGGCAAAATGTTACAGAATGTTTTTCTGCCCATTCTGAGCTACAGTATCTTGGATACCACTTTCCTGTGATCTCATTCAGATGTTGCAGGATCACATTTTATCCTAAAGGAGTGGAAGAAGTAGGGAAGATTTTTATGGAAATAAGCTGAGAATGTTCTGTATTGGTTTGCCTGTGAGCTGTCAGTGGTGAGTCCCAGATCATCCCTTCTCAAAGGGGCAGGCTTGACCATTAATGCATCCTGTGTAAGTTAAAATAATGTATGTATGCTGACAGCTCACGTGCTGAGGTGTTCACTTGTGTGGGTTCATGCCTTGTTGTAAACTTGGAACTGGATATTTCTGAAGTCAGCATTCAAGGCATTATAAATAAAGGCTGAATTCTTCAACCCTGTTCAATCTTGTGAGAGGTGAGACAACTGTTTGGAAGCCAGTGTATTTAAGCTGTCAATAGGAGGAGCAGGAGGTGATCTTGGAGAGCATGCTGTTGTTTGGTGGCAACTGGTGACAGTGTGTGTGGGATCGTGTAAAGCTGAAGGATTTGTGAACTAAATCTGTAAACTCTAAGCACTCAAAGCTGAGATAAAACCAGCGAGGAAAGTATATGCTTGTTGTATATTAATTATAGTTTGTTGGTGGGGACTGTCTTAGTAACCAGGCAGAGTAAATAAGTGCAACTGGGCAGCTTTTGCAAGTCCTCTGAATTAAGCAGCTGTCTCTGGTCATGTTTACAAGGTGCAAAACACCTTGAGGCTGGATGATGCTGTCTGTATCCCCCCATATTCCCCTCTGCCCAATCACTCGGACAGATGTGTATCTGTCCAGATGTGGTTAAGTGCATGTGATATGGTATGTAAAGAGCTGCTATTAATCTTCTGTTCCAACAGGGAGATTCTGTTCAAAGCAGGTGTGAAATGAACCAGATGGGCTCTTGTTTCAAGCATGTTAAGTGACCTAGAACCCAAAGACAGCACAGCTATAATACACTGTTGAACGAAGCATCTGCTCTGGGCCATGTGTCACTAACTTTTTTCCCCTCTTTGAAGCATTAAGGGAACCATCTGGTTATTTGCCAGGTTGACTTGATTCTCTCAGGTCGATCTTATTGCAGCTAGATTACAGGCTAGCTGTGTCAGGATTAGTGTCCTGCTCTTGCAGTGAGTGATATTTATGTGTCTGGAGTGTTTAATGCAGAGATGTCAAAATTAACACTGGCGGTAAAGGCGGAGAAATAATTTATTGTACTTCTGCAATTCTTAGCTCAGACTTCCAGAACAGTTTCTTTGTCTTTAGCAGCTGACTTCTCTGCTTAGAGTGTTCTGCAGTCTGATTGTCTTTTCCTGGAAGAAACAGGAGGGAGAGAATATTTTCTTATTTTTAGTGACAAGTTATAAAAGTCCTTTAAATCACATTTTAAACTTGCTTTTTAATTTTCATTGCTCTGTTTCTGCTGTCAGTTAATAATCCAGTAGATTTGAGGGTCCAACTGCATACCTATTAATTAATCTATGAATGCAAAGTAACAGGGATATGACCTTTCCTTACCTGATCTGGCAACTGTGTGTGATGTTTACTACTTTTCATGTGAGGTCCTTCTTAACTGTATTCAAAAAGTTGTTCACCTTATTAAAAAGAAAGCTTAGTGTACTTGGACATTTATCAGCTGAGCAAGGCATGGAAAGGAATCCATTTCTACAGTCTTTGTGGCAGACTATGTGGAAGAATGGGACCACGTAAGGAATTTTCTTATTTACACCATCCACATAGTTCTTCAACATGTTTGGTGCATAACTCTCCAACCACTGGCCCTGACAATACACTGTGATAGGTGTTAAACACGTGGCCAAAACTCAGCTTTGTTAGGTAAGATCAGTACAGACAACTAATTCTTCTTCAGTTTGGTACAGTGACAGTAGCTCGTGTCTAAACAAGAGTTGTCTTCATTTGTCTACAGTTAGGTGTGGTTTTTGGTGGCAGTATTTTGTTTAATCAGTGATGCCAGATATTTAATTTATTCCAGACCTTTTTCTTGCCTACTTCTCAGTAATATAGCAAGGTAATTAGCAAAGACATTTAAAGTTCTTGCTGTTCAGGTTATTGGAAGAGTTGGTCAATTCCAGTGAAATAATTGGCTATATCTGAAGGTATCCTGAAGGATTCTGCTCTTGGTATGATGAGGTAGATGTTTGGCATTGATACTTAAGTAGCTTCAATCTGTCACCTTGCTTTGACTTCTGCTGCAGATCAGTGTGCTTGTGATTTGTAAACGGTATCCTGAAGGATTCTGCTCTTGGTATGATGAGGTAGATGTTTGGCATTGATACTTAAGTAGCTTCAATCTGTCACCTTGCTTTGTCTTTGACTACTGCTGCAGATCAGTGTGCTTGTGTTTTGTAAACTTACTTTCCTTTCTTACAGGATGATGTGAGGCAGAAAGTGCACCTAAATACCTTTGGCTTCTTCAAGGATGGTTTCATGACAGTCAATGTCAGCAGCCTTTCACTGAATCCACCCGTGCGCCCTGAAGACAAGAAGAGCTTATTAGTGAGTTACTTTGAGTCCAGTGACTATGTTGTTTGCTGTGAAGTTGCCCTCAGACTGATGCTTTCACTTACTTGAGGTGTCATATCCTAACTGGTGGTGCTGTTGGCTTTGCTCCCTGCTGTGAGCCATTTATGAGGATGTGTGTTGTGAGGTTTGTCCTTGAGCACTGGTCATTCTGCTCTAAGCACAAACTTCAATGTACCAGATCCTCTGCTGAACTCGATGCACACATCTGTAACCTGTACTGAACATTGGTTTCCTAAGCAGTCCTCTGATGTGAGATTTTCACATTGTTGTCCTGTTGTGTTGCAGTGCAGCTTGTAATGGTGATATCAGCAGGTTTCCAGATCAGTGACTGTCTTATTTTTAGAGGACTCTAACATTGCATGTTATATAGTACACTATACTAGTCATTTTAGTAGACTGAAATACTAGAGTAGAAAACAGACCTGTGCTTTTGCTCTTCTGCACAGTTCAACCTCTTCATTGCTAAAGGTATTAAATGCTTTCCTCAAGTGAAAACATCTGGAAACACACTGAAATAAGTGAAAAGTTTCAGGGACAGAATGTACTCTAGTTTGGGTTTGGATCAGTATATATTTTAGTTTTGGTGGATATAGCTGAAGCAGCAAGTTTATTATATGTGGATATTTTTTCATGTTTAATTAGGTAATGAGAAAAATACCTGGATTTTGCCTTAAACATAGGTTAATTTATTTAGAGATCAGTATCTTTTGACTCTTTCAGTGATGGTTTAGCTTCTGACAGTAGGGGAACCTAAGCTGTTTTGATTTGACAGATTCTTCTTAATTGTCTCATAGGTGGGGTTCAGTTTGGATCGGACAAGGAATGATGGGTTCTCCACTTACCTGGTAAGAGTGAAGGATGTGAAGAGTTGTGAACTTATTTTTCTAAGCTGGCAACATCTCGTCTACCTTACTCCAGGAATGTTTAGAAAAAAAATAATAATAATAAAAAAAAAGCTGGAGTGTGCCCTTGGACATGGGCAGGTTGTTAAGGATAATTCAGTTTTGCAACTTGATGGACTAATCTCTACCTGGTGAGAGGAGCTTGTCTCTTTGCTTAGAAAGAGGAGGACACTTCAAAGATACTTTGCTTTTATTGCCAGGATGAAGAAGTGGATTACTGTGTCTTGAAAAAGAAACCAGAGCAAGATGTCTCTGTTGTAATCTTACTTCTGGACTACACTGATAATGTGTGAGTAAATAATGTACACTACGTTTTAGAGTTATTTCTCGAGTTGAAGGCAGTGTAACACTTGTGAAATGTCTTTAAGGGCTTGGAAAGCTGCCATGCGTATGGATTATTTTTTAATGAGTTACATGAGAGTTGGGGGGAGGTGAGAGTGAAAGAAAAAAATCTGCAGTATTAAATGGTGCAAGAATTCTTGCTGTATGTTGGAAGGACAAGGGGATGTAGGGCTAAAGAGTCATACCTTCTCCACAATTAAGGTATGAACTTCAAGTCTTGTGTCACTTTTGCAGCTCTTGCACTGAAAATGCCATTTTATTGTTGGTCTCGAATTACCTATTTTATGGAAGTGCCTTCTTTTGCAAGGTGCTTTCTTTTGCAAGAACAACTGTAACTGTTTGTGTGGAACCATAATTTCTACTGAGAATCTGGTTACCAAAACTGAATAAACTTAGTTTTCTCCAGCTGCTCTTGTATTTGGTGTAAATGTATGGTGTGACTTCTCCCACAGTGATCAGTTCAGTGGCAGGCTGCTCTAAGTCATGATCAGGTTCTTGCCTGTTCTCTGTGGTTAAAAAAAAACCCAAACACCAAGTTAGGACAAGTTGATTTTCCTTTATTTGGTATACATAGTCTGTGACAGCCTCTTTGAGTGTTGATTTGCTTGCATTTTGTGTACATGCTCTGTTTATTTAGTGTGACAGTACAGTTCCCTGCAGAAGCTGCTGCTTTGTTACCTAAAATTTCATTCATATCTGAGGAGAATGTTACTGCCTTCAGTACCAAGCCACTGAAAACTTCTGAACAGAGCAATGATTCTGATAAAAACCCTGCAAAGACCAGCCCAAATACAGAAAAAGGTAAGCCTGCTAAACTGGACCTGTATGTGCTCTCACTCTTAGGTCCTCGTTGGTGTGCATCTAGTAGTGTGTTGTGGTCACATTCTGGGGTCCCCTTGGGCTAGAACTTGACAGATAGTTTTTTGTAAACCTGTGCATAGAGCTACCATTTGCCCTCGAGTCTCTCCTGCTCAGTGATTTGTGTTAACCAGTTCTGTTGATCCAGCAGAGACCTAACATAATTGCTGGAGACTTAAAGTACCTGTAAGGAGGGGTTGAGGTCTTTTGTCTGGCAAAAAGAAGGCTAAGGGGAAATTTGGTAGTTGCCAACAGCTGATTGAAGGAAGGTTAGAAGGACAATGATGCCAGACTGTGTTTAGTAGTGGCACACAGTGCAGCCTGTGGCTGTTCCTCCTTGTTAAGTCTTGATTGTCTCAGATTGGATGTTAGGAGGGAAAATAAGACTTCCTTAGGTAGGTGTTCCAGCACTGTAGTAGATGACTTGTGGAAGTTGTAGAACCTCCACCTTCTGAGGTTTTAAACACTTGACTAAACAAAACCAGTGTCAGTGTGATACCGTATTGACACAAGGCATGCTTGGAGACAGGTGGTGGATTAAATACTCCCACTATCCTTTCCTGCCAATGTTTGTATGTATACAGAAAGTTGAAATATAGTCTGTCACTTAGAAGCTATGGGGATGGAGGAATAACTATACCAGTAACCTTTTTGGAGGCACAGATCTTTGTCTGGCTTCCAGACCAGCAGACAAGACAATTTTATAATCTCAGCTCTGATGGGATTAGCTCTAAAGAGTTCATGTTATCCTTTCCTGGAAGAGTTTGGACTTCAGATCAGAGTGCTGAGCAGTCTGATCTCAAGTAGTCTGTCTTAGCTTGCCATGTCCACAAGCTGTGAGATCACTGAACATTGTGCACAGCTGTTCTAACAGGCCAAGAACTAAAGCTGGATGGCACTGAAGATAATTGGTCTGACAGTTAAAGTTTTGCTTTTTCTTGTGTTAAAAAGTGTAGCATGCACGCTGACAGTCCACTGAGGTGCAGGAGCCTAAAGCAAAGCTTCAGTCTGGAACTTTTGCATCCTGGTAGAATGGGATGAACTTCTGTTTGAATAGCTTCTTATAGCAGTAGAGTGAAACTGGCAACTTGACGTGCTGCTCTGTTAAAGTCTCTTGTCAATTTAGGTTCCTCAAGTTCAGAACCAGGTTCTCACCTATGCTTTGGGGTTTTGTTTGGGTTTTATACTGAGGTCTTGTACAACAGAGAGCTGAGAACGTTTTCCTTCTCCAGGGCTAATTAGGACTTCCATGTTTATCAGGGCATGTGCTAATGTCCAGATTAAGATTAGTCACTGTTGTTAACAATATGCAGTTGTAGCATTAAGAGTCAACAGCTGTAGACTGTATGAAACAAGGCTGTAGCCTGCATCTGGTGTAGGTCATCTGCCTCCTGCATCACTGTGATTGAGGAGGTTGGAAAGATTTCTTGGGTAGGCTTCTGTAGAAGGTTTAGTAGTAGAGAAGCCTATTTTAGCATTTGGGGATGCATTCAGAATGGATGCTAGTTGTAGGAAGAGTCCTGGGAGAGTAAGGAGAGACTGGGAAAGAATTTCTGTTAATGATTATCTTGGAAACTGCCACGCAGACAAGTACAGGAAGATTTGAGTAAGGTGTTGGCAATGTGTCAAAAGTGGTAATATATGAGGATGTCTAAAAGCAAACAGTCTAAATGTACCATTAATACTTCTATCTCTAGATAAGAAGTCCAAACGAAGTACAACATCCTCCCAGGTAAGAAACTATCTCCAGTTCTCTTTCATAAAGAACCTGGGGGAATATTCCAGTACAGGCATAGCCAGAAAATGGAGAATATTATTTTCTCTTGCTCTCAGGCTCCACTAAGTATAAAGCAGGCGGCTTTGATTGAGTCAACCTGGTCTAGTGGGAGGTGTCCCTGCCTGTGGGTGGTGCAGCTGGAACTAAGTGATCTTCAGGGTCCCTTCCAACCCAAACCATTCTGTGATTCGATGGCTGATGTAGCCAGACATGGTAGCTCCCTGCTGAAAAAGTCTAAAAGTCTCTTTTACTTTCCACAGCACATAGTGGAACAAAAACATCCTGTTCGCAATGACGAAGGAACTTGGTCATTCCAGGTAGGGTGTCTTGTCAGTGTCTGGTCTTAATGTGTGCAGACAGTTCCTTCACTGTGCTGCTTTGTGAGAAGTAAAAGTTGATTATAGATTGATTACAGTTGATTATAGATGCATCTCTGCATCTATAATCTTAGTGCTCAGTAAGTTTCTGAGTGGACTCTTGTTAAAAATAAGTGCTGGAAATCTGTTTTCTTAAGGTGTGGGAGCTGTTTTAAACTGGCATGATGAAATTCTAAATATCTTAGTCTGTCAGACACAAGATATTAGTTTACTGTGGTGCAACTAGTGCATACAAATCTCTAACAACAACTAGCTGTGACCTGACTGATAACTCACTTAAAGGCAAGATATTCTGTATGAAACAAGATTTACACTTTGTTTCAGCACCCTAGTTCACTTGTAGGCATCAGTTACTATAAAACACATTTTAAATCCTGTTATGTGACAGGAATCTCATTTCCATAGCTATCACAATTTATACAGTTGAGGGAGGAAGAGAATAGCTGCTTAAGCTTTAGGGCAAGTGTGATCAAGATTTTACGTTTCACCATGTTAAGTATAAAAAAAGTGTTGTGTGTATCTTTTCTGTTGTCAAGTAAGTTAAACACTGATACCTAAAGGTCTTTAGTGAATGCCTTGGATTACTAGAGTGCATAATCATAGTTAGATGCAATGATTTTGTATCTGGAACTTGGTTGAAGCCTGCAGATATTCTGGTATCTTCAGCACAGCATACTTGCTGAAAGGAACCAGCTGAGCCAAAATGACAGGTTTTTTTCATGCTTCAGTAGAGATGACTTCTTACCAGGGCAACCCTGCTGTGAGTAAAGAAGAATGCTGACTTTCTGACTTCTTACTTTCAGTTCTTTTTTAACATCACCTCTGATAAGCAAGAAGGTCTCTACAGCCTGTATTTCCATAAGTGTGCTGGCATCAATGGGGCCACTAATGTTCAGCGTGTATTTAGTCTTGATGTGAGTATAGCTTCTAAAGTACAATTATCTCGTTCACTGAGAATTGAAAGCTGTGTATTCAGTCTATACCAAGCACTTGTTGTACATGAGCTGTAGATATACTGGGTGGGAGGTGAATCAGAGCTGTGCATTTAATCTCTGTAGTGGCATTTCTGAAGGAAGCAACTACAGTAGGAAGAACTCAAATACTAGTTTTGGAGAAGTGTCTGGAAAAGAGTGTGTGTGGATTGGGTTCATTCTACACAGTTGTGACAAGATGCTGTAGTGAGATGGGAGCTAAAACAGCTGTTTGTGTTTTGCTGGGCTCAAAAATATTTCTGTTCTTTACACAGATACTAAGGCTGTTGGTGCAATCTAAATTGTTGGTATTTGTGAATTCAGTGGGGTTTTATTCTGGCCCAATTAAAGATGCATTTTTACAGTGTTAGATGCACATCTTAAAGGCAGTATGCTATAGCAAAGGGATTATCTTTTCTGACATCCAAGGGTTCTGTCTTGTGCTCTTTTGAGCCAGTGCATTCTCAGAGCTCAGGCTTTCCTCTTTTTCTCTCCCTGTGCTCATGCTGCTGTATTCTGTAACTAATCCTCTTACTGACCAAGGTAACTCGCAGCCACATCAGCCCCTGAATGGCTTTTTACATGGTTGTGCTGGTGCTTCAGCAAGGGAACAGGCAGGTGATAAGATGTAGCAGCCCTGCCATAACTCAAACTAGGCTGCTTCAAATCAGCTTCTGAAGTTACATGTTTAGAAGACCAAATTTTTGTATTGCTGTTTGTTGCTTTGCCCTACTGAAGAAATTGGAAGTTCAAATCAGCTTCTGAAGTTACATGTTACAAAAATTTGGTCTTTTAATTGTTGTTTGTTGCTTTGCCCTGCTGAAGAAATTGGAAAGAAAGGAAAACCTGGATAACTGACCTGCTTGGTTTTATTTAGAGATGCAGGACAGTTTGAATACTGCAAACTAGTCTTGATGTATTATTTTAATCTAGGCCTAGTTAATATAACCGAGCTATTTAGGGGCATAAACAGGACAGGAAATTCTCAGTCAGAGGGTAACAGGCTTGCAGGAGAGTACTTCCTTTCTCTTCACAGGTGAAGAAATCCACTGTGATAAACTCAAGAGTGAATTTCAGGTGTGACTCTCCCCACACCTAAAATCAGGACTGTTGTAAAAAGCCTACTTGTTTTATGCCAGGTTGTAGATACTGTTTCTGAATCAAACTCAACTATCAAGTTTGGTATAGAGAGCAGCTGTTCTTTGGGGTAATTACTTTGCCTTTCTGGATTGCATTGTACAGCTAAAGCACTGCCAGGAAGCTCTGTTCTTCTCTGCTCTTCAAGAACATTATTGTGGGTGGAATTTTGCAAAATGTTTTGAGATACTTGAAGATGAAGAGTTGCTTTTGTTTTGTTCTTTAAGATTTCCATAACAGTCACTGCTTCAGAAAAGTTAATTTTAAATGAGCAAGTTTGATTGTGAACTTTACACATAACACACCTTTAATATTCAGATAGAAATTACGGAGAAGAATCCTGAAAGCTACCTCTCAGCAGGCAAGATCCCACTGCCAAAACTTTACGTTTCCATGGCCCTGTTCTTCTTCCTCTCTGGGACTGTGTGGATCCACATACTCCGTAAGCGCAGGTAAGCAGACTAGTTCAGTGTCAGTGACAAATGGGGGCCTACTTTGTTTGAGTTTTATTTTTTATTCCTCTTTATATAATGCCCAGTTCAGTCAGGTGTAATCGCTTAAAGCTCCGAATCTGGCTAAATATTGTGTGCCTGATACAGGCAGGTCATAGTTGAAAATGGCCAGTTCAGTCAGTGCCATTGTTGCAGACTACTGTTCTAAAGTTATCAAGTATTATCTTAAGAAATCTTTCCTGGAGTTTACATAGTAAAATATATTGTAGCAAAAAATAAACAGGAAGTTGCTATAGTTAGTGATGAAAGGATAGAACAGTTTGGAAATAAATTCAACTAACAACAAAAAATAGTGGTGTTTTTTTTTCCCCTCCCATGGGGAATGGCTGTGGAGAGCCAAACTTTTTGATTATGGTCAAGAATGACAGGAATTCCTAACTGAAAACAACACTACTTAATATTTCAAGCATAGCAGCAGAAGCCAGGACCATTTTGGCTTTGCCTCTGACTTATCTGAAGTTCACTTGCTGATCAAATTATTTAGTAGTCTGAGTTTCTTTTGGTGGTGTGAATTAGTGACTTGGGGGCAGGCCATGGAGGAATGTTTGAATTATATTTAGCAAATTTGTCAAGATCTGTATATGCAAGAGTTCCTATGAATTACTATTTTAAATTAACTCAGGTTTTAAAAGTCAGAGTTCTAGAGCATGTAGTTGAAACATGGTTCAGGATGTTGCAAAATCTTGGTCTGCAACATTAAAGGGAACAGTTTCACACTAATAGTCAGCTCAGCCTGTGAGTTACTGTTTGACCTCTGTAGATTTTTAAGGAAGTACCATTGGGAAATGTACTGACTTAACTTCTGCTCTTCGTTCTCTTTTTTTCTTCCTAGAAATGATGTATTTAAGATTCACTGGCTAATGGCAGCCCTCCCTTTCACAAAGTCTCTGTCCTTAGTCTTCCATGCGGTGCGTATAACATCTCTCCATTAAGCTGTTCAGCTAGGAAGTAGAAACATGGAATCCAGGGCATGCTGTTAGAGAAATAACATCTCTCCATTAAGCTGTTCAGCCAGGGCATGCTGTTAGAGAGATCTGCTTTGGGAGGAGAATGGAAAGGAGAGAGGTGTGTCTTTCATATTGAAGTCTTGTAACTGAACTTCAGCTGTTCAGTGGAAGTGATTCAGTTTTCATCAGCACATTCTGAAATGGAGATCATGACCTGAAGTGGTGAAGCAGTAGGTGTGTGAGGCTTGGATGACTTCCATGTATTCTGATGTTTTGGCCGTCTGAGGCTGGCCCAAAAGCTTGAGCTACAGTGCTGTTTTAGCTACATAGCTTGCAGTAAATGTTAATAAATGGAAACCTTGATGGATGTTTGTGAAATCCAAGGGCACTACTTTAGGTGAAGTATTGTGGTGTACTATAACAGACCTAATGTGATCAACTCTAACACTTTAAATACTTAAGAGTCTCTGTTGAATTGCATTGCCTTCACCTTTCCACTGGAAAGTTCTTATAAACAAAGGTAATGGCAAGCCTTTGGTCCTCCACTCATTGTGCCAGCCATGATCTTCACCTTCATCTTCATGGTAGGATAACTATTATCCTCGTAACTTGTTACAAGTGTTTTTGGAGTCTAATGAATTGAATCTAGTTTCCAACAAAAAAACTAGAAAGCTTCTAGTCATCTAATGCAACTCAACTTGAACAATGAATGATTAAGTAGGTTACAAATACAGTTGTTTAACTATAGTGAAGTGTGGGAGCTGTGTGGGAAGTATGTAGATTGTATGAGAGAAATCTGTTAAGGCTTAGGAAATCCAGGGAATGGAAGTGACCTCATTGTTGCTAAACAAAACTAAAACATGTTGGGAGGAAGAGTTTGTACACACTGACTGGAAAATGAAACTTGAAGTGGCTGTCAAGCAGAGCTATTTTATAGACATGGCTGGTGTGCTCATGAGCAGCTTGTAAAGTACTTTATTGTATTTTCTGCTTCCAGATCGACTATCACTACATTTCTTGTCAGGGATTTCCTATTGAAGGCTGGGCTGTTGTTTATTACATCACTCACCTGTAAGTCTGTCAGAAGATTGATGTGCTAGATCCAAACAATGGAATTGAGCTGCCTGTGGGGCTCCACCCCTCCTGAGCAAACTGGAAAATTGCCAATTCCTCGGTGTTGTGGTCTGAATGACAAGACAACAATCAGCCCTATGTGGAGGGGAAAACTGCTTACAGAGGGCAGCTGCAGAGAATTGGCAGTTGTGTGGGTGGAGGAGTGCAAGGATAAGAAATGCTTTGCTTTTCTTTGTTCATACTAATATTCAAGTATCTAATTTGCTCTTGGTGTGAATGGTAAGAGGGTACAGCTGCCAGTGTTTTCTCCCATAGACAGTGAATGGATGACTCCCCCAGGAAAAGACTGAATATATTGACAATTGTGAATGAAGTGTGATATTGCTATGTGATACACAGTTGTAAGCAAGTACATCTGCTTCACTGTTGTGGATAAGCACTTGCCAAAGTTATGAACAGCAAGGCATTTGTTTGGGTTTGTGGCTTTACTGACTGTAGGAGAGAACCTGGGCAGAATAGGAATTGTGATAAAATAATGTCTCTCTCTTCAGTGTCTGTTTCTCTTTCAGACTAAAGGGTGCCCTTCTGTTCATCACTATTGCCCTTATTGGCACGGGCTGGGCTTTCATTAAACACATCCTGTCAGATAAAGACAAAAAAATCTTCATGATTGTCATCCCCCTTCAGGTGAGGACTGAGCTGGGTCAATGCTATCTTAACTATCTTGTGGGGGAACTGCTGGTGCAAACTGTAAAGGGCTGTGAACTGTTGACAAAATACCACATAGTTAATGCTTGTATGAGCCTATTGGCTACAATATAAGTTGAGCTTGAATTTACTGGGCCAGAAGTTACTTCTGTAAATTTTTCCTGCTTTTCTCCCTATATGAAGTATGAGATAACAGTGATCAAACAGTGTCAGCAAATGAACAGTGAGCTATAAGGAAGGTATATTCATGCTGGGACAAAACTTGGGCTGCAAAACAATCCCAAACTACTAAGCAGAGAAGTTAAAGCTGTCACTTCTGAAATGTTTGCTGAGTGGGCCTAAGGGGCAGAAAATGGGTGGAAGATGAGACTTGCAGGCCAATTGGGCCTGAGGGAAACGTTTCCAGTGTGTTCAAAGTGATAAGTGCTTGTCTCCTACTCCAGGAACTGAAGTTCATAGGAAGGCAGTATTTGTATTTGTTGCTGTAGATAAAACAGTTTTTCTGCCTTTCTGGATAGAATGCCTTAGCCAGCTGCAAAGCTAGAATAACTCATTAGTGTCTGAGACTCTTAGAGCTCAGGTATGGAGTCAAACTGGTCATTGACAAGACTTGTAATTACTGGCTTTAATTAGAATAATGTGTTTGAACTGTTTTCTACATGTGCATATGCAGAATCCTGATTCTGTATTCTAATAGGTTTTTCTCTTTTTAATCTCCACTGAAACAGTAGCTTCAGCATAGCATATCAGGAGGACTACTTTCTGAACGTCAGCAGAAATAAGTTCCAAACAGTTTTCTTTGTGTAAATCCTGTGCAGATGCTGCTGAACAGGTGACTTTCTTGACCTAGAGCTGCAGCAGTATTACTGGTGTTACTGAACAGGTTCTTCCTGCAAGCGTGGGCCAGCTTTTGCTGAACTGGCAGCCTGCATCTAGTGTCTCCTTGGAAAGCTTCTGAAATCATTAAGCACGTTTTGTCCTGTAGGTGTTGGCAAATGTGGCATACATCATCATAGAGTCAACAGAAGAGGGGACGACTGAATATGGACTGTGGAAAGAAATCCTCTTCCTAGTAGACTTGCTGTGTTGTGGAGCCATCCTATTTCCAGTGGTATGGTGAGTCACTCTCTGTGTTGTGTGGTTTCTGAGCCCCGATGGCTTAAGCTGTTTCTGAGCTAAGAGGTGCTGACTGCTAGTTAGAGCTAAAGATACTGCCAAAGCAAAAACAGGTGGCTCTGTGGAGTCAAGCATTCTGTTAACTTTTGCAAACTGTACCAGTCTTAAGACTTGAATCTTGTGTTGTGGAAGATACTTGGTCTGGGAATGTTTAAGTGGGGGTGAGGTGGGTGGTGATTTAAGTGGGGCCAGCACAATGCAGGCTATAGGTGCTTTTGAAACTTGAAAATTTGCAGCAGCACTGACTTTGTTGAGAAATGAGGTTTTGCTTTACTGACTTAAATTGGAAACTAGGCTGCTAAATGCAAAACCAATAGCACGAAGATCCATGCTGCCTTCAAGCAGAGTAGCTGCATTTTTACTTGACTGTTTAGAAGAAATAATCCCACAGGGAGCATTTCCCTGCCCTTCCTTCCACTCTACTTGGCAAGAAATACTGTTGGTTATATAAAACTTGACCAAAACACAGATAATTCAGATAAACACTATTGTTGCCTCTTGCCAGTTAGAACATTTATCTTCTAAATTCATTTTAGCCTTAATTGGGTAAACAGCTGGATTTAAAGGAGGATATGAAGGAGCTTCTGGCTCCTTGGTTTGTAAACACAGAATATTATTATTTTTTCTGCAGTATCTCCAGTATTTTTTTTTCTGAAACATACAATGATATGTCTCTGTGTAATAGACATCATCACTCTAGCTTGTAACTTGTGAGTGTTTCAGAGAACTGTTTCATGCTGCATATGTGCATGTGTGTTGAGATAGACATAGGTGTTGTTCAGCAGACAGGAGTAAGCTTCAGCTTGACTTGTGGTGGTGGGTTTCAGCTGTTCTTACCTTCCTGGTCGTCCTCTCTGCAAGGGCAAAGCCCTGCACAGGCTTGGTGGCTTTCTGCCAAGGTTGGGAAAGGTCTTGAAAGATATTTGCACTATCCACTTGTTCCTTTCTCTTCTCCTGTTAAAATCCTGCAGCTCTTCTGGGGTTGAGAGCATTTGTTTATGGCAAATAAAACTGCAGGAATATTAACTTTAATTGTTGAGACCCTTGGATTTACTGCGATCAAGGTGACTTTTAAAGGCACAGCTCTTACTACCAAATACCAGAATCCTTGTGTCCTACCTGGTGATATGCTGGTAGAAAGCTTGCTTTCCATGAAGGAACTGTATTTGAAGAACAAATGAATTTGGATGAACTGCCCTGTAACTGTTCATAGTGTGCAGTTGGTGTTCCTGCATTGTCATGGTACCAACAAAATCGGGCAGTGAAACCCAGGACATAAAACCCTGCCCTGTTTTCATCTGGATAGTGTCACTGCAGCTGGTGGGATGACTCATGTGAGCAAGGTGACTAAGACTTGGCCCTTGACTTCACATTCCTGCAGGGTAGCTTCTGTTACATAAGTTGCCTATGTAGACATGTAAAGCTGTAATCAACTATTTAAATGAAAAGAGCTTAAAAGAGCAGTAAGATGCCAAATGCTTGGCAGTAGCTCAGCTTAGTTGTACAAGTGGAAAGCATTATGCTGGAAAATGCCCCAGTTTCTCACTCTGCTCCCTCCCACAAAGCTTTCTGTGGGCTGAAGGAGGCTTTAGCAATCAGCTTTCTTAATCGTAAGGAGATAGAGACACTTGAACTAACTGCCTGGGCTGAGTAGATTGGTGTGAAATATATGCAGTGCCAAGCATGCTAAGCACAGTTAATTATGAGCATGCCCAAGTCATAAAGAGATGACAAAACTTGTCAGTGTTCTAGAGGGCTGCAGTGAAAAGGGAGTGTAAAGCTTACAGCTAATCTACTTCTTTTATTTTTATTTTTCAGGTCAATAAGACATTTACAGGAAGCTTCAGCAACAGATGGGAAAGGCAAGTCATCTGTAGTTTTCTTCTGTTTTATTTTACATGGCATAAGATAATGACAATTTCAAATGTGATGCTGATTTAAAATATGTCAACTGAAAATGTAAATCTAAACTACACTAGTGTCACAGTGCTGCTTTTCCTCAGTGGACTTATGCGAGTAACTTTTGGAAAATGACCTTTCTCATTTATTGCTTTGACTACCAGCACTGACACCTGGAACTCATTCTCTGGTACTTGCACAGCTCTCAGTGCTCAAGCTAGATGTGACATCCAGAGCAAATCATCCTGACAGATTTGCCTTCTTTTCTCAGGCTTGAGTGTTCAGAAGCAGAACTAGAAATGAAGTACAGAATTGCTGACTACTAATCAAAATAGACCCCCTTATTTCAATCTCTGCAGAAATCTGTTCCTGCCAGAGTAGAGGGAAGCAAATGTCGTTATGAAACAAAACATGAATTGGCATTCAGTGTAACACAGTTCTTGACTTGTCCATGTTTGTACAGCAGCTTAAAGGACTGCTTGTGTAAAGTCGAGTTATGTTTATTGTAGCAGTGAAAATGAGATGATGGGTGGAAAGCCAACCCAAATATGGCTACTGTAGCGTGTGCTTTTCCTGCCTTATCCCCTCACTTCTTCTCAATTAGTTTCTCAGTTGGCTGCAGATGCAACGGAGCATAGCACTGGCTTCCTTGGAAGCAGGCAGCCATTTCAATAGACTGTCACTTGATGGCTTACTCTTCTTGAAAGCTTTATTTGTAGAAGGTCTTTTGTTGGCAACATCCTTTCAACCCAGTCTGATTCTTTAAGTCTTGTCTCTCCTTTCTGGAGATAGCCTTCTAGGTCTGGATACTTCTAGCTGTTTTCTTGCCTTCCCCTGAGACACTTCCATTTCAGTGCAGATTGCTTCTGTAGTCTAGTAGGTGAAGTTTAAGGCTGGGTATTGAATTCAGCTCTGTGCAGACCGAAGGTTAGGTCTTATCTTGCCATCTTTTATATTGAAACAACACTTAAGATGAGCCCAGCACTATTAAGAGACAAATCCTCTAGATCTGTGTGGCCTCGGGTGGTCACCACGTGCCCACCTTGCACTTTGTGTTTCTTATCACAAGATGGTGCTATGGAGTTTGCTTAACTTGCAGGCATGGAGGGAAGGAGGAAAGTAAGGTGGCCAGTATCAAGGATGATGAGCAGAGTGGACCTGTCCACTGTTCATCGTAATGAGTGGAGTCCACATCTGAAGGACACACTGTAGTGTATAATGGAGGTAAATGAAAGTGGTGATCTAAGAAGAACTGAGTTTGTCTTTGTAGCTAGTCAGTGCTATGCACAATAGCCTCTCAGGACTGGTCCAGATCCTCTGGTGTATGGTGTGCTCCACTCTTCATCATAATGTTGCTTTTGGAGTCACCTACTGCTTTTGGAGTTACCATGCTTTACCCACCAGTGCTACTATCTGGTTGTGCAGATCCTGCAAGTTCAATAGTTGTGTGTTGAGAGGGACTCAGCAGCTGTTTTATGCTACAGTATGAATAAAACCATAGCTAAGGAAAACATTTTTAGGGAAATCATTGCATAGGCTGATGATGGATTGTGGCCAGGACAGCCACAGTGCTGGGACTCACTGGTGACATACAAGGCTGGAATATTTAGAGGCTGTGGATAGGAGCCCATGGGGCACAAGTGAATGGCAACATGGTGCTGGAAGCAGAACGTTACCTAATGATGTCATGCTGCTAGTCTGCCTGGTTGAGAAAACCAGGTTGCACTGTGATGAAGTAAAATCATCCATACTTGGCTTATCAGTGAATAGTCCTGATTAGAACCATGTGTTCTTAACTCCGTAGGCTTCTGTGTGAGGCCCTGTTCTGCAGAGGTGCTTCTCAGGAGAAAAATAAGATACTAAAATCACCAGCATTGGTTTTTTTCCACAGTTGAATTTAATATTCTCCTGAAATGGTAAAAACTGCTGGATTCCCTGCAATTTAACTGCTGTGCTGCCTGTCCTGTAGTCAGAGCTGACTGACTCTGGCACAGACAGTCATTGCTTGCTAGGATTTCTTGTCTAGTATTACCTCAGTGGCTGCTTTCCCTGCTCTCACACAGACTTCATTAACTTATAAAGGTGTCCTGGGGAATTATATTCTATAAATTCAGTAGCTGTTCTTCCTGGCTTCAGGTTTTCTGGTGACCTTCTCAGTGGTGAGAAAGACCTAAGGAAAATTATTTTTGCTTCTTTGCATCTATTAGAACTAACAACTCCAGGACTTCATGGTTCAATATCCATGTGGTGTTTCCTGATTGTCTGTTTGTCTTGTCCTCTTCCAGCTGCTTCACTACCTGTTTATTAGATAGCACTCCCTTGGGTCGAGTGCCAGTATGACTGCAGCGTGACTAGACTAGAAATGAAGCAGAAGGCTGGTCCAACTACCAGTCTTTTAGTCTGAGAGCTGTGCTTGCCATAGGCCTTTGTATTAGCAGTGTCCAATTATTAAAAAGGCTGAATATATGTAGCAGTGATTTGGAGTCACTAGCTAATGGTCATTTAAACTTGTTGGGCTTTTTTAAGGTTTTCTGAAGTGGCAAAGGTAGAGGGCTGGATCTCCAGCCAATTATCCAGGGAGCCCTTGCATGCACAGAGCTGTGGATAGCTACTGAAGAGTAGGCATGGCACAGTAATACTGCTGGGTTTCAGCTGCCTGGTTGTTTGCTTTTTTCCCTTGAAGGTGATCTTTAACTCTAAAGCAAAATATCTGACCTGCACAGGCTTCTTATCTTGAACAGCAGTGGGTGTAAACACCTCATTTTTAGAAGCTTTTTTTATCCCCTTTTAAAATCGCCACCTTCCAACTTAAGCAAGTGCCTAGCTGCAGCTCTTTGGCCACTCCTGTATCTTCTTTCAGGCAGGAGCTGTGCTTGCTGTCCACTTCTAGACTGGCATTACAAATATCCTGCAGATTTAAGGAAATAAAAAATTCCAAAACCCTAAGGTAGAATTATTTGGGCTGGAAGGCTGCTCAGCTATCACCACCTTGTTTATGGGCATCACGAGAAAAGGGAGGGAGTATGTTGGTTGCAGTACACTTGGTTATTTTTGCTTGAAACTCAAAGTTCTTGGTCACTGGACTTTGAGTCTTATGATCCAGTCTTGTGTATCATGTCGTATGTTGTTTGAGGGAGGGATGGAGGGCTGGAAATACCACTGTCAGTTCTTGTTCTGCTTCTGCCTCTGTGTGTGTGGTGAGCTGTGAAACCCGGTGCAGCCTGATCACGAACGGGTGCCTGTTCTCCTGAAGCACTGCAGCTTGTCATAGTTGGCAGCAGAATTAGGGGAAGTACATTGCAGTGTGTAGCTCCCAGGCAACATTCCCCATGTGCTGTGCAATGGGCAAATGATGATTAATGCTTTCATGCATGCCCCCATGTCAGGAAAAACCATTTGCTGTTTTCAGTGTCTTCCTGCTTCTGTGCCATGAAAACGCTGTGAAGAAAGAGCCTGGTCCTGCGTGGTGCAGAGCACCCTCTGCTAGCTGAGCTCAGCACACGCTGGAGGCGATGGCTCTGTGGAGACCCATGCTGAGACAGCTCCACAGCTCTCCAGCCAGGAGGAGGAGGAGGGAGTGGTGCAGGGGTAAACATGCTCCAGGCAGTACATGGGCATTTCAAACCCTGAGATAAAGCGTAGTGATTTAAGTGTCGAGACCTCGATGGATAGCACTGGGGCGTTGGGAAACACTGAGAAATGCAAGTTGAGAAATTAAATAGGCCTATTATGTTCCAGCATGCCACTTCCAGGCACCCTAGGTAGCTATTCAGGGTTGGTGTAGCAGCTACGTGTTGCAGATGCATTGCTTAGCCTGTACTTTGGACTGTCTTCTGACCCTGGTGAGGAACTTCTGTGCCAAAGGGCTAATGTGTTTCAGAATATTCAAGATCAGATAGTCTGTGCTACCTTCTCATGCATGACACTGAGAGTTGCTCTATCTGTTTGCTTGACCTTGTATATTTTTTTTTTTCTATGCCAGGAATGCTTAGGAATGCTTTTAAGCAGAGTACTGTAGAGATTATAGGGCTGTACTTCTCAGAGTTAGTCGTGGAGGTGCTTTTTGAGGTCTAGATCTACACGAGTGCCTTCATTCCTGGGGAGAGTAGAAGACTTCCATCTAGTACTTGGTAATGGCATAGATTGCATCTCAAATGCACCAGAGTTAGTAAGCACACAAAGCACTGTAGAAATATTCTGAGCTGTACTCCAGTGTGTTCACTCCAGACGTGCTACAGGTTGCCTTTGCATAGTGTATTGTCTGGGCTAGAGCTCCCTGTGCCTTCAGCTGCAGTCCTGCTATTGTTATTACATATGTATTCTAAAAAGGTCAGATTTATTCATCAAAAAGCTATTGTCTGGTGTGCAAGGCTGTAATGGATGGTCTGACTTTCTCTTTCCCAATCTTTCAGGCTGTCTCAACATTTGAAATCAGCACAGGGGGCAATCTAAAAAAGAAACTGATCAGAATCCTGTGTTATGCTGTGTTTTGATCGATGCAGATCAGGCTGTTGCAGGCACAAGCTGTTAAAGTAAATGGTGATAGAGAGGGGAGACTGAGGGAAGCGAGGTGTAGATGTTGTTATAAACCTTTCTTGGAGGATGGCTTTTATCTTTTTAATTACTCTATGAAAGAGATTGAATGCAAGTATGAATTAATTTGTGAAAGCTTCTGGTAGAAAGTCTCTATTTCTTTTTCCTCCTCTGCAGTTAAGTACTGTTCCTTGAAGAATGGTTATCATACTCAAAACATAAATTTACCCAGCCTTTACTGCATGCTGTGATTGCTGCTGTGTTATCACAGCTTTACAGGTTGGGGCTGCAAGTGATTCAAGTTGTAAGTGACAGCTGCTGGCCTGGCCTCCCTCCTTGCAAGTGCTGCTGTCAGCGTCTGGACTGTCAGGCTGAGGTGAATCTAAATCTTTGTGTCCAGCACAGTGAGACTCAGGTGTTCCTGCTTGGAGCACGTTCAGCCTGTGAAGAAGCAATTCACAGGCTGCTGATGCCAAGCAATGATGATTTTAGACTTTCTCCAGAACAGTGTGTGCTGTAACTTAGAGCTGTTTTTAAAAAAAAAAAAGGCAGAATCTTGTGGACGTGCATTAATACCAACTTCAGTATCTGATAGTGGAGAAAAGTATTCCTGAAGTTGAGGGAGCTAGAGGAGAGCACCTAGTTGTGATAAATAAGCCATCCAGCTTCCAGAGGTGGTGGCTCTTCAGTCTTTCTACTTGATGGTGGATGTCTTTTTTTTTTTCTGCTTCCTCTCACCATTATTTCCCATGCTCAGGCATTCTAGATATCTGGATGTACCAACCTATGACTCTGTTGCTTATCATGATGAGTAGGTGAGATCTTGAGCTGTGCTCTGTCAGCTGAGAGAAGTGACATGGTGACACTTCAGTTGGCAGCCAGATCTTTTTGGCTTCACTGTCCTTTCCTCCTATGCACCTCCTGAATCCAACAGAAATGATTCCCCAGCTCACTCAGTTGTTGACTGCAGAGAACTGAGGGACTGGCAGGTTGAATCACAGCTGGTGAGTTGGTGTTCCTTTAACTGCAAAGCCTGGTAATTCTCATGGCCTGTCAATGCACCAGTTGGTGGCAGTTCTTGAAGATGAATGCATCGAATTCAAAATAGATCCTTCTGTGTACAAACTGCTATGTTGTAAATCACAAGATCTTCGTGGTCACACTTAATGTAGATCTCCTTTAAACAGGACAATATTGCTTCCCTGCTTCATGCTCTAATGAGCTTGGCTTGCATATTTACACAATTTAATCTTTCTCCAACTGTATTATGAGAAGCTTTTAACATTAGATTATCTGGTAGAGCACTAGACCCATGAAAATATCTAAGTTTTTGCTATTTGAGTGTGGGGAAACTAGCTTTTGCAAGGGATCAAAATGGGGGAGAAGTAGCTAAGTGGTGTCTCAGGGCTGACTTAACTACCAAGGATTTAGATTCTTGTTCTAACAGTTCCAAGTCTTGCCATCTGTTGCCCAGTGAAGTGCTCTGTGCTTCATGCTGGTGCTCTAGAAACACAGGTCTTGGGCATTGCTTTCTGGAGACCAGAACTGTGTATTACAAAGTAGATGCAATTGTGTTCAGCATTTCATATTGCAGCCCAGAAGGGAACATCCTCCCAGAAGTAAGAGCTAGTGTTCCTCTGACACACTGTGCTGTAGGATTGCCCCCATGAGCACAGCCTTGCCCAGAGCCAGCCCAGTCTGCCTGGTGTTGGTGAGTGATGTGCAGGGCAGGCTTTAGCTGCATGGAAACAAACCTGGTGTTCCTTCACAAATAAGGTTTGCCTTTTTCCTTTTGAGCTCTGGCTCTGCTTTCTCTCACTGGCATGCCCTGTGCTCTGTCAAAAACTAGACACAGTGTTTGGAAATCCATAGAAGCCCCTAGACAGCACTGAATCAAAACTACTCTTAACTGAGTTTTATCTACCTGTCAGTTTATTCCTTGTGTTAGTCAGGTGCTGTTGTTGTAGGACATCTGTTGGTGGAGGGTTTATATCTGTCTGTAGGTGTCCATAGCTTTCAGTACTTCTCCTGGAATCCTGAAGGTAATTTGGAAAGTGACTCTTGATCTCTAGATTATACAAAGTAGGTTTATGACATAATAGGAACCTCTAAGAGTTTGAGTGGTGCATTAGAGGTTACCTTTCCATAGGAAAAGTTTCATTTTTTCACAGGAAGTGAAGTGTTTCTTTGGTGGCTATGAGCCCTCCTCTTCCTGATGTGTAATAATGTATTTTGCATTGCTGTGAACCTGGAAAACTTTATGTGCAAACACATGCAGTCTTCTATAAATCTGTGTTTTGCACTGGTTTATTGCTGTGAGGGAGAGCAGATGAACTTCAGCACAATGTGTTGCACTTACACATCTAATAAAAAAATCATGAGGGCTTGGAGGGAATACCAGTAAGTATCTGGCAGTATATTGTGTCAGCTTGTGTTCACTGGCTCTAAGTTGCATCTCAGTATGCTGTCAACATATCTTGGACTCTTTGCCGTTCCTGTTGTCACAAAAGCACCAGGAGTCCACATTTGTAATCTTGCTGCACCTCTAAAACCTGACTCTCAAACTGGAGCTGACAGCTGTTCCATCTGTTGTTGACCTCTGCTCGTTCACATGAATATCAGCAGCATTCCTCAGGAGCTGATGTAACCTGCCCAATAAACACAGGTTAGCCTGGGGCCCTGACTTACATGGTTTGTGACAGAAACACATGTGCTTGCTCTGAGAGCTATTTACTGACTTCCCATTTCCCCTGGAAGTTGTGACTGAGCCACCAATGATAGAGGGTACTACTTGGGTGTTAAAAATACTTTGCTGCTGTTCCACAAGATGCAGTTCCCAAAGCCATGATAATCTCCAAGCTGCTCAGGTCTGCTGAAGGCACAGAGCTGGTCCAGATGTGCTCCAGAAGAGACAGACATTTTTTTAGCAGGAAGTGTCAAATGGTGTGACCCTTCTGGCAAGAATGAGGTGATGGTGTGTAGTCAACTATGTACAGATAGACAAAGGCTCTATACTGCAGAGTGAGAGTGTCTAAAACTTAGTGTAAAAGTGATCTGACAGAGCTGCTTTTTTTGAGACACTTCACCCCAGCATAGGAGTTGTCCAGTACACAGACAAGCCAGACCAGCACGGCTCAGAGCACAGTAGGATGTGGGACAAACTCCTCTAGTCTAGACCTGAGTCCTGGTTTTGACTACTTATGTACCTTGCAGACAAGCATCAAAAGAAACCCTGTCTCATTTTAACAGTTTTCTGACTGATTTTTGTGTTCTCTTGATAGCAGCCATTAACTTAGCAAAGCTGAAGCTTTTCAGACATTACTACGTTATGGTAAGTAAAATACCTGTATGCATGCATACAAATCACTTAAGAGCCATGAAAGTCTTTGGATGGATTACTTGTTGGAAGCTACTACAGCTGGTGGATGTGGTGGAAATGTTCCTAGTTCTCTGGCAGTGCTGTGTGCTTTGGTGTCTTGGTCAACTGGGTTACAATACTCAAACCAACTTTCCTTCTTTTCCTGGTGATTACATCCTTCTGTTTGTCCTTAAGTTGGTTCCAGCTATTTGTAATGCTTACTGATTTCCTCTGGAGACAGCTTGAGCTGCCAGTTGAATTGATGGGCTTGAATAACGTACTGTAAACTTGCTGAAAATTAAACATGGGCCCAAATGGTGCCTTGAGATACATGTGTGCAGTTTCTGATTAAGTCAGCGAGAGCCAGGAGCTTACCTCCCGAGAGAGCACAGGCTTCTAAATGATTTCCAGCAGCCTCATTTTGGACTCTTACAAGTGCTATGAGTGATAAAATACAATTGTGATTCTTCAGGTTCTACAACATCCTAATACTTAAAGCATTTCCTGCTGTAACCTAAATATGTTAGCAATAACTTGAGTCATTTGGATGTTCAACAGGCAGTGGAGTGTTCAGCATGTATCTTCCATTTTTATTGAGGAGCATTGTAAGTCTAGACTGGCATAACGAGTTGTCTGGGAATCACTTGAGCTATTTTTCTGAAAAATAAAGTTCTATAAGGATGGTGCTATTGTTCTTATCATGCTTTTCCTTTTCCTTCCCAGATTGTGTGTTACATTTACTTCACATGGATCATTGCAATTCTCGTAAAGATTGCTGTTCCATTCCAGTGGAAATGGCTGTACCAGGTATTTGACAGCAAAGGAAAATAAATCCATTCCTTGATAATATTTTCTGTTATTCTTTAAGTATAACTGCACCAAAAACCCACAAAAATCCATAAATTGTTCTTCATGTTGTAGTAGAACATGCACCCTGTCTCCTTTTGATTTTTATCACTGATGTGCCTATGGTGGCAGGACTGTATTTTTAGTTTTATGTTTGTCCAGTAAGGCTGCTGGATAATACATGAGATGACTGAAAGTAATTGCCTTATTGATTTGTAGTCTTTCGGTTTAAAAATGTCTGAAGGAAATTAATCAAGAACATACAAACGAGAAAAAAATTAGTCAGGTTTGCCCTGTGTAATTGAAGCCCCAGGGAGCCAGTGAAATAGGCTTTCATTCTTCCATCTACAGGCATTATTTGCCTAGTGACTTTTAAATACTTGGTTTCTTAACATATAATCCAAGTAACTGTACAGGGAGTCTTTGGAATACATTAACTGTTGAAAATACCAAAAAATGTAGGGATGATTCCCCCCTCCCCCTCATTTAAAAGCCAAGACTTGCTGTAGTTATTTAAAAGCACTGGAGTGATGGCTAGAACTCTAGCTGTATTTAAAGTGACAGGGAAAGCTGAAAGAACAAAGGGCTTGACAGCCTTTAACCTGGGATTAATGATAACAGGACAGGAATTGCTTTGTTATTTCTGCTATGGCACAGGCTTCTTGGCCATTAAACCTTGAACCTTATGAATGAGGAGAAATGTTTCATGACCACGAAGGATTATGAGACTGAACTTTAATCTTGTGTTTTCACTTGCAGCTGCTGGATGAAATGGCCACACTTGTGTTCTTTGTCCTCACTGGGTACAAATTCCGTCCAGCATCAGACAACCCTTATCTACAGCTTTCTCAAGACGATGAGGATGACTTGGAGATGGAAGCTGTGTAAGAACCCTTCCCCCTCCTTTATTTTTTACCTTTTCACTTGATTTGAGGAAAGTAAGGTTTAAAACCAGTTTACCTTAATCTCCCTAAATCATTCTTAGAAAAAAATTGAGATCCACCCACACATTTAAAGGTGAGGTGTGTGTTAAGCAAAGATATTGCTGATATGCATAGTGGCCTCTGAGCTAGATATTGCAGTAGTGTGGAATAAGCTGGTAAAGCTTTTCATAGGACAAAGAGATGCCTGTGAAAAGAGCAAGTAGAAAAGCATCTGTTTAATGTATGTGGCTGAACACCAGCAAGCTATACATACTGTCATTAATGCTTTCTATTAAAAACAAAAAATCTACAACAAAAATGAGCTACCAATCTACAGACTATACATTAGCATGACATAAGGTCCCTTCTACCTTGTTGTTCAGCCCGTAGCTTTGCAGAAATTTATCTGAAGTAACACTGGGCTGAGGAGATGGATTTTTACCAATACTTTTCTCTGTTCTATTTCTTGCTGGTAAGCCATGAGGCACCACAAATGCAGCAGGACCTGAATTAGTCTGGAGGAATTAAAGAAATAGGGCTCAACCTAAGTCCCTGTCATTTTCTTTGCTGTGGTATTCTGAAGACTTAAAAAATGAGTGGCATTTCTGAATCTATAATAGAAACTGCCCTAAGAAATTCAGTGTGCTAGAACTGTTGAATACAGCTATAATTGCTACTGACTCTGCTGCCTTAATAGGAGCAGAGCTAACGTAATCTATTCAGGAGTTACACATTTCATGCATAATTGCAATTCATGTGCAGGCCTGTGCCTTAGAGTTCTTCCATTTTGGCAAATCTCCTTTACCTGATCTTGAGTGAAACAAATCAACAATTTCTACTGCAAAGACAAAAAAAGTCAAAATGTTTGCCTTCATAGTTCAGAAATAGCAGAATAGCATAGCTCTTTCATAGCTCAGAAAGAAGTAGAACTTATTGGGAAATTGCTATGAGGAATTTTGAGGTAGAATCCAGCCTGAAATGTCATGCAAGGAGTTTAATTTCTTAGCAATATCTCTAGTAACAAACATCTTTCCAGATACTTAGCTATTTTTGCTTTGGCTCTGTAAAATGTATCATTGTTGCAAGCAAAATCCAACTAGTCGGTATTGACCTTAAAATCACTACCACTTAAAGGTATTCAAGTGGTTTATGTAAGGAAAAAATGGTTTCAGTTTGGAAGCTGTTCAACAGATATCCACATCAGGAAGGCACTGTCTGAACTGCAAGATGTGTCAGGATTTGTGATTGTAGAGAAATTATTTCTTTTCCATTTTGTCTGTTAGGGTGAATTCAACTTTGTATTACATTGTCACTGAATTTTTACTTGGATTTTTTTTTAGGAGGCCTAATAATATGGCACCTTTCATATGTATTGATTTCAGTAAGTTGGAGAAGCTGCTAAATTTAGGGTGATCTGCCAGAAATAAGCTGGAGAAAGTTTAATGAACTCATTAAGTGATTTCTGTCTCGCCATAGTGGAATAGAGGTTACCAGAAACTCGAGGATCAGAATTCCTTGTGAGCCTTTGCCTAGTAAGGCATTTTGCTCTTTGCCTCTGGAGGTTCCATTGTTGTGCTGTGTGGGTTGTTACCCTTAAACCTGCTTGAATTTTTCTGATGTGGTTCACTAGGAGTTTTACTCCATTTGGGCATCTGGCAGGGTATGATCTGTAACTTGTCGTGTTCTCTCCCAGGCTGCGTTGGGGAGGTTCAGTTTGCACACATTTGAAAAGCCTGGTGTATACACATTCTGTGACAGGTGAAGTGCTGCAAGGAAGGTGTATTAAATTTCTTGTTGACTTGGTCTTGCTGGTCCTATTTTTGCTTTTATAAATATTAAATGTTGTTTCTGTGGAGGGAAAAATACCAAGGCTTATTTGAGCAAGTGACTAAGTGCCTGACGGCATCCTGACTAACCATTGCATGAGGGTGTTTTGTCTTTCATGTGATAAATACCCACTTGTCTTCAGAGGCTATGGCAGAAGTTAAAAGCCTGCAAACTTCAAACTTGATAGTGTTCTACTATGTGTTATTAACAGGTTTTATGGTTTTCCTCTCCCATAGGGTTTTTTGTTAAAATCAGGCTCTTTAAAACATTTGCTGCAGAAGCATTCTCTTTCTTTTAGACTTAACATTTCTATGAGCCAAGGGAGGGGAGAGCCGTGAGGTCATCAAGCCTGTTTTCCAGGCTTGCTTGTCTTCCAGCAAAAAGTAGGACATTTTAAGTGCAGCTCTCTAGCTTATGTCTGTTTTCAAGCAATGCAAACTGTACAAAGCTCAGTCTGGCAGTAAACGTAAATACTGCTAAGGATAGTGTGGAAACCTGTGAAGTTTCAAGAAAAAGCCAAAGACTAGGTGTCTGTGACAATAGCAGCATAAGGCACAAATCCTCCTCCTCCTAAGTCCCAACTCTCAAAAGTTGAGAACAACAGAAGGAACTTGTAATAAGTCTTTTCATCTAACACATCTCTTTGGGAGGAAACATCCAAGTTGAGAACAACAGAAGGAACTTGTATTTCATCTAACATCTCTTTGGGAGGAAACGTCTGCAGGTGTTACAGGACTTTCTCTCCAGTTACACCAGGCTCAGCAGAAGTTGTCCTGGTAAAGTGAAGGGTACAGCTAAACCTGAACTATGAACTAGTCTGTTCTTTTTCAAGTAGGGTCAATAGCCATTCATCATCAACAAAGTGGCTTTCTGTGTATTCTGTGCTAGGCAGCTTCCTGAGCCCGTTCTGTCACTGTGTGAGCTTGTCACTGACGGTTTGTTAGATTAAAGCACTCTGTTTGAAAAGGTGCAGCTACACTTGGCAGAGAGAGTTGTCAGGCTTCCAGTCCCAGTGCCATTTCTGGGGCATGAGCACAAATTCAAACAGTACAGTAAATGAGGTGGGGGTGAGGAAGGGGAAAGGAAACAGTTTGGGTATGTTTTTTTTCCCTCTTCCACTAAGCTATTTCAATAGCTCAGTAAGTTTGCTTTAAATGTCAGGTACCAAAGTGCTGTACTACAAATCTTGGTTGAGAATGATGCTCAGAGGTGTATGTGGGGTTAAGATATTTCCACTGGAGGAGGAATGGCTGGAAAAGCCATTAATGGTTTTGTTTTCAACTCGGTAAATCCACTTTACTGAGTGTGTGGAGATTAACTTTGTTTTTCCCTAACACCCAAACCAGCCTCAGCTGTTGTGGTAACGCTGTTGTGGTGCCTTTGCTTATGCCTTGGGATCTGGAGTTTCTCACTGGATCATGAGGTGACCTGTTCTGTGCTGAGACTTCAAGGCCTATTTGCATGCTTTTCTCTGCTTTTTTCTCAGGTTGTGCTTTATGGCATCCTGATTCATGATGCTCTCCATTAGAAGTGATTTTCTTTACCTGAAACACCTTTCCCATACAGAAACCAGCTTTATAGCTCAACGTCTGATCAGTTTTCACTCTAGTTTGCAACAGCTTGTCAAGGTGGCTGCTGCCAGTATTGCAATGTTTCTTGTTGGATTATAAAACAAAAAAGGGGGGGAGGGGACAGAAAAAACAGCTGAGATCCACCACTATTGAGGGCTGAAGATGCTTTTGAATGTTTACCCATTCCTTGATACCCCAAATAAAATGCTCAGGGCAGGGAGGAACACTCTGGGGTTAGTGTGGGACATGCCACTGTGCAATGGAGTGTTCAGCAAACTCCTTTTGTGCTTCGTTTGTGACAAGTGTCCATCTAACTGGCACAAAAATTCTCTCTGGAGAGGTGGTTTTGTGAGAAGTATTTGTTACATTTTAAGTACTGCTAGTCTGTGGGCTAGAAATGCAGGTCAGCCCACTGCAGGTGAGGAACATTTATCTGCAGTATTGCAAGACAAAACTGAAGTCCTGAGACTGCTCAGAGGACTAGAATGAGAATTTTAGTGTGCTTTGCCTCAGTGCTGATACCTGGATTTTCCTGGGCACTAAAACATGTTGACTGAACTGATTTTGAGAGGCAGAGGAATTGCCCATTGTACACGAAGAATCTGAGAAGAGGAGGACTTGAGAGTTACCCCATAACACTTGTCATGAGGCAGGAGGAGCAGCACTCATCAGATGGTCTTTAACTCTTGCTGTTGATGAATCCACCCAAAAATCTCTCCCACTTCTTTGTTACTGCTGCAGGGAAGGGGGCTGTAAATGGCCTTTTTAGTAACAAATGATGTGACTTGACCTGGCTGCAATTCCAGTATGTAGCTGTTTGTCCTGTCCCTCCATGAACGTGGGAAGTGGATCATTCCCTCTTAGCCATAACCTCTCATCACTTCTGTCATCATCTTGGTGTGCAGTGGGTTTGTAATTGTATTAGAGTGCAGTGCTAGAATCTAGGCTGTGTGCCAGGTGGTGTCGTACTAGCTGTGAGTCAAGAGTTAGGTCTGCTTTGGTGTCATGTATGTGTGAAACACCTATTTATAGATCCCAGTGTGTCTGCTGTTGCATTGCTATACAAGTTGCTCTTTTTTGGTTTGTAGTCCAGTGTAATCTTCAGCTCTTCCCTGAAGAACTGATACTTAGCCACTTACATTGTAATTGGGAAGTTTATTTTTTGTGAAGAGTAAACTTTGTAGCTGTCTTGCTGTGTTGTCCTGTATTTTTTAGACCATTACTTCAACTTGCCAGAATCTTTCTGCATTCTAGTCCTGTTCCCAAATACGTAGCTCTTAGTATCTTCTGCAGATTTAATAAGCAAGTTCTCTATTCCATTACCCAGGCAATTACTGCAAATACTGAATAGAAGTGAACCCAGGACAGACCTCTCTGGATCCACACTCAATGTTCTTTCGTTTTTGACAGGAAACCATTAAGTATATCTCAATGCACTCTTTCACAATTAGTTATGCATCTACTTTGGTTTAGTCTAGGTCATGTTTCCCCAGATTTTTTCCTATGTGTCTGTAGGAAAACCTTTGTTAACAGGGAGAACTTAGGAGATCTGTGTGTTCACTGTGCTGAGGAGCTTGATGTGAGCTCTTCCAGCCAAAAGTTAACTAATTCCATGTCTCTCCTTTAAGCAACCTGCTTAGTTTTCTTCCCCCCCGCCCCCCTTTATTTCAATAGGGAATAAAGTTACTATTTCATCTGTACTCTTCTGACCCTTTTCCTGTTCCCCTTAAACACAAACTCATCTCAGCATCCTCTGAAGTGTCTGAACTACTGACAGTGCTAGAGAGTCATTGAACACACCAGTTTGAGTAAATTATTTTTACAGTACATGAACAGAAGCTGATATCTGGTGATATAGAACTAAGGGCATTATCAGAAGACTTCATCTGAAGGTTACGTCTCCTCTGGGGTGATAGTGTGAAAATGTTGTTAGCTGGCCTGATCAAATACAGTATTCTCACATGGTAAAACAGCAGGTGACAGCACACAAAGGCTGACAGCAGCATCTTTGAACAGGACAGTTTTATGTATGCTTGCAGACATCCCTTGTGAATGCACTGAGCTATTGGCACTCGTGCTTTCAGCATCAGAAATAATCTTTGTAGCACATTTGTGGGGGGGGAAAAATACCTGTATGGAATGAGAACCTTACTGTGCCAACGAATACAGCAAATGTGTTGTGCCTGTGAAGAGCCTGTTTTGTGTAGCAGCAGGGGAAGCTACGGGCCCGAGGAGCTCGCTCAGTAGCCACGGTGGCTCTGAGAGGAGTGGTGCTGTTCTGACTGGATAAACAGTGTTCTGAGGCTTTGTTGTTCAGTGGCCAGACTGCCATGACAAATCCAGGCTGGGGTGGTACAGAAAGATGACCTTTCTCTCTCTTCTGTGTTGTTGCTGTTCCTGGAGTAATTTTGGTATTAGCAGGAGCTGCTGTGCATTAAGCTAACAAGGGTCATTTGAGGCACTGTCCACTGTGTGTGCATTTGTATAATACATTGCACCTATTACAAGTATTGCAAATGCAGAAGGAAGTCTTTAATGCACAGAATTAAGGGTGTTCAGCTGTATAGCAAAATGTTGGGTTTTTTGAAGCAAGCTGCTCAAACTTGAGCTAATAAACACCTGGCTTAGCTGTTTAACCATCCCCACTATCTTCTCTCAAGAATAAACACATTATTTGCTGGTTTAGTTTAGTGATGGATGGGGAGAGCCTTGAGGATCTCAAAGACAGTGGCCTTGCTCCCAACACCCTCTGGTGCTGGGTCATCCTGGCCTGCAAAATGGTAGCAAAGGGAGAGACTGAACATGGGGACTGCTAGGTCTTGATTAAGAGACACTTGAGAAGTGTTATTTGGTACATGTAGGAAGACAAGTGTGGGCTATTGGTAAAATGGATTTTACAATTCAATTTCCATTCTCTGATGTTCCTCCCTTCTCTTTCAGGGTGACAACTTCTGGAGTAATGGAGGGCATGAAGAAGGTCAAGAAAGTGGTGAACGGGTCAGCAGAGCCCCAGGGCGAGTGGGAAAGCACAGCATGACAGACTGGACTCAGGCAGCACTTTCAGAGAAACTTTTTTTTTAATTTATTAATATTACTCTCAGTGGAAAGGGAGCAACTAGCACTTCCCAACACTGAGACTGCAGAGTGGGGTGTGTCTGGGGGGAGCAAAGCAGTGCAGAAATATAATCATTCCTTGGCTCATAAAATGAGATCTCTTGGTACCAGCAAGGAGTGTGAAGCTTTCCTAGGGATTTTGGGTAGCTTGTTCTTTTTTCCCCTTTCTGGATCAGTTAGGTGTTCTGAATTGTTTGCAGTTGCGTTCTTCAGGATGTGTAATACTGATGTGAAGAAAGACCTTTAGTGTGTATGTAAAGTATATATTTTATATAATGCTCATTTATATATATACACACACTTGCTATGTAACATGTATGCTGGGAAATACAGCGTGTGTCAGAAGGTGGGAAAAGAAGATAAGAGCTGTAAGTATTCTTTTTTTTTTTTTTTTCCTTTTTATAAACTCTCCTTGTGGCTTGGACAAAACATTACAAACCAAATGAATAGAAATAACTGCAGTTATTAGGGAGACTGAATGGGGTATTTGGCTCAGATGACCTCTACCACTACTCCTATCAGTGGGAAAGCTGATAAGTGTCTTCTTGTTTTATCCATGCAGATATCCACTTGAATGTGTCAGGTTTTCAAATGTGTTGCTATGCAGGGAGCAAGTGGCTGTTCTCCATTAAAAGCACTAGCTCGTAGTGCAGTAAGCACTAATGGAAGTTCTCCACTGTTCCTGGAGTTGCTCTTGATTCACACCCACCTGACAAGAAGTACACAAGAGGTGTAAGACTGATGCTTGCTTTTTAGAGGTCTGCCATGCTATCATAAACATTTAATTTCAAGCTGTGACCTAGAGCACTTTGGTCTGCTTAATAAAATACCTTCAAGGTGTTTCAAAAAGACACTGCTTGCTAGCACAGTATAAACCATAGCAGTAGCTCCAGTGGAAATCTGTCTAGGAAATGTACTGCAGCATAAATCTCTGGTTCACCATTATCCTGAGTTCCTTAGCCTCTCTGGATGGCTACTTGTTACCTCTCTGGCAATGCAGGATTAATGATACTGCTGTTTGAGATGAACTGAACTGGTCAAAGTGGTATTGCTGCCAAAACCAGGCAACTGCAGCTCTCACTCCTAAACAATTTTTGTCAGGAAAGGAGAAGATTTTGACCAGAACTTCAGTGCAGGGGAATACAGAAGTCTATTAGCAGCATACTTGCAGTGGAGTCATTAGAGACCTGTTAGAAATGCCATCTTCATTTTATCTGTAGTACTCTGGTACTGTGAGTAAGACGAGCTGGTGCCCATAGCTGTAGTAGTAAGGCATAGCAAATGATTATTCATTTGTGGAGGGGGTTGGAAGTAATTCACTGATGTAATGAGGATAAGCTTTAAGAAAAATAAATCAAGTATAACTCACTTACCCACTTAAGCCTTAATATTCATGTAGAGGAATTGACATATGGTGCTGTAGAGGAAAGTGCTTCTGTCAGGATGATGGGGATAGGCATTGTCACAGAGCTTTGGATGTGCCAGCATCCTTTACAAACTCATTTAGGAATTGCTTTTTTGACTGAAGGGACTAGCATCACTTCTCTGGGGCACAACTGATTAGAGGACCATTGGCCCCTAGGTTATTCTGTTCTTTAAATTTAGAAAGGTGATTTTCTTTGGAACCTTGGACCACTTCTTCAGTCTTGAACAGGGATTGCAGAGCTTTTAAATGAGCAGCCTGTACCAAGACTTGCTGTTTGAAGAGCAGCATGTTCTCTGCTTGCCACTTCTTTTCCCAAGTGTTGGTTCTATGCATCATGGAAACAGTAGAAATGAATCTATCTGCTTTGATGTCTGGAACTGGTTTCCCTTGGTGGAAACAGTGAGCTGAGCCTACACCACCAGAAATGTTGTTAGGTGATCTATGAGCCTTTTGGACCATCAGTATGAAGAAATCATCTGCATAGTAAGTAGCTGAGGTGTGAGAAATTGGACTGTAAACAACCATAGGCAGTCCCAGCTCATCAGACACTCAAATACAATATCTGAGAAACTCACATTCTCACTCCACACCATTCCTCTGTCCCTGTAGAAATGTCACTGCCTGCATCCAAAGGGCTACTCAAACAGGCTGTAAACTTTGTTCAGAGTAGTCCACTAGAGACTTGAAGTCTGTTGGCACTGAATTATGCAAGGGATAAGGATTTGCTGTCAGAAACAGAAATGCAATAATTAATAGTTAACCTGGACATGATGCTCTCTTAGAACCTGTTAATACCTTGTGAACGAGGTGTGAAATTCTGATGGATGTGGTATTGCACCCAAAACCAAGAAGGGCTGTGCCAGTGTCCCACCATGTCCTGAGCTGTCCAGACAGCTGCCTCTTCCATGCCTCAGCATCAGTGGAGTTGCCAATTCAGCAACTGCTTTTACCTTTGTCTCAGGTTTCTTTTATTTTTTATTTTTTTTTTTAATTTTTAATATGCACTTCTTTCCTAAAGTGTGTGGTGTAGGTTTATCTACCCAGTCCCTAGCTCATTAGTCAAAGGCCAAAAAATGGGTGATTTCTTTTTGTCTGGGCATGAAAAGCCATGGTGGTACTCCAGATGTGTTTTTAGAAGAGCTTTTTCCCAGGTCAGACTGGAGCTTCAGCAGTCAGCTCTACAACCAGCTTCAGCTGGCACTTGATGCAGGACCTAACCAGCTCTACAGCAGGAGCTAGTCAGACCTCAGCATTCGTAAAGAAAATGTGGCTGTACAAGTCAAAACCCAGAATGATAGAAAATTCTTTCTGCAGCCATTTCCAAAGTGAATTTCCACTTCGGAATTCCTCGGAGCAGGTGAAAAAAATTGGTGGGGAGGTTGTTGGGCTTGGACAGCAGCTGGGGTGTTGGAGGACAGAGGGGATGGCTGCAGTTGTGCTCCTCTCATGATACAGCATGTGCTACATCACAAAGCATTGAAGAGAGGGTTATTCCCCTCCCTTCCTCCCAGATGAACCCACACCTGCGTGGCTGGCAAGTGTGACACTACTGCTAGTGAAGTGCAGCAGCTTGGAGTTTGCCAGGCAGGATGATGGCAGTGCCTGCCTTTCCCATCCTCACGGATGCCTAGCTGGTAGGAGGCTCTGTTTTTCCCAAGGAAGGAAGATAGAAGAGCTGCTTGTGGCTTACAGATGGGTTTGGGATACAGCCTTACTTTCCTGTCGCTGCCTTTTCCTGAAGTGAGCTACTAAACCAGTTGTCCTGTGAGCACACAGTGGTGTCATGATGGGAGTCCTGGAAAAGCAGCTCTGGGCCAGTCATGAATAAATGGGTTTGGATGCATTCATGTATGTTGCTGCAGGGGAGAACTTGGCACCTGCTGCAGACAAAAAAGAGATGGGTTCAGTTTTCAGTTGTAGTGCAGCTTATGCCCCAGTAAATCCCTACTGATGATGACATGCAGATGCCACTGGTGCACTCCTTCCTGCTGTAGCTGCTCAGCAAGCCACCTTCCAGAGGAAACAGCCTTGCAGCACAGCTGCCAGATTCCTGCATTCTTCAGGCTTTAAAATGCATTCTTTGATGGTTCATCAAGAGATGTACTAAAAGAAAGCAAGACATAATGGGGTCATCTGGAACAGTGCTGCTGCTTGCTCAAAACGCAGCAGTTTGAGTTGAAGAAGCCACATGCTGTCCTATTAAGATGCTCTTTCATGTTGCCATCTAACTCAGCACGTCATGATCTGTGCAGTGCATTGTTCAGTGTCTCCCTCCAGCCCTGTGTCCTGTTCCTGGGTTTCCATCCTGGCATACCCAGGGAGCATGTTGTAAAAATTTGCTGCATTGCAGTATTTTGTCCTGGAGCTGGTAATGTGGAAGATTTATTTTTCTAGGCTAAGTGGACTCTCTCTAGCATGAGTGTGCATCCACCATGTATATTTAAGCACTATAACATTGCTTCTGGCCATGAAAGGGCACGTCCTGAACACTCCAGTGTGCACATTTGGTGAAAGTCCAATGGAAGATTTTCAGTGTGTTAAGTCTTTTTTTCCTTGCATTATGTTCCTCTTGGAGAAGAGAGAGGCAGGCTGGCCAGTGACAATCAAATTGACAGGGAAGGGTTTTTTTCCCTGGTCTTTTTGAAAATTGCCCAGCTGCATTTGAGGCAAGTGTTTTGGGTATTTGTACATTCTGTTGAGCTCTGATGACTGAAGTTGGTTAGCTATTAAAGAACTTACCAGGTAGTAGTGCAGGTATTGAAGGGAAGGAAATCTTCCCTTCAGTCTGCCTGGTTTGCTTCCTTCAGTTTGACCTGTCACGATAGTGAACAGACTTGCTTTTAAAGTAAATGTGTTTTATTGATTCTGTGTTAAGACCTGCACTTCAATCATAAAACATTTCCCCATTTTTCACCTTTGTGAAAGAGCACGGAGCTGTGGGCTGCAGCAGATGGGAGGGACAATGATATTTGAGACACAGTGAGACCCACACTGTCTAAAACCTGTGACCTTGTGTCTAACTTCAGTAACCTGAAAACTGAGGTGGTGCTGCCCAGAGGCACTTGACCAGTGTTTCTTTGTGTTCCCTAGGGCTGATTTGCTGGAAAATGTTCTAAACTGGATTAATCTGGCTTTTCTTGTAGCCATTGGGTATGATGTTGTTCTGAGCTTATTTATCACTTAGCAATAGTGGGAAGCTGTGTATTTTCCCCCTTGTAGTTTCTTGCTTGGATATAGCAGTGATCCTGTAAGAACTGTGCATATGTACTTGTAAGTGGCTGGAACAGGATTTAAGAAAAATACTGAGATAGATCTAGAGTGAAGGTACTGGAAGAAAGTGGCTGAGAAAAGAATCAGTTCTTGTAGGTTGTCTGGCTCAAGAACCCGTTTATGTTTTGACTGCAGCAATCCTGTAGAAAGGACAATTCTCAATAAATATCTCCCTGTGGGATTTCACTTGATGTTCTGCTCTCTGTGTAGTAAAGTAGAGCCCAACCTCCACGTTATCAGAAGCACTTCATCTTGTAGCTAAGGTACTGGAGCATTGGGCTGGTACCTGCTCTGTCAACAGAGTATGAGTCTAAATAGCTTCCCTTTTCCTTTAGTAACTATTAATAATTAATTCTAGATCCTCTTGTGTCATTAAGCAGCTTTAGGGCACCCTGTACAATGTAGCTCTGAATTCATCTAGTAAATGATCTCCAAAAGAACTCAAAAAGACTTTCCTATGCAGCAGGGTCTGGTTCCAGGGGTTTTGGTGACCTGTAGATATCCTATTCCTCAGTTTATGTTCAGATGTACAAATGGATTTTTTCCATATATTTTTAGACTATACTGAAAGAACAGCAAACAGTGTTTGCAGAGAAGTGAGGCAGATACAAGTGAGGACGGTCTGTGTAACTTGGTTTCCCTGCTGTGATGCAAAAGTGTAAAATAAAGATTGACCAGAAAGAAGTTTAATGCATCTCATTTTCTGCTTCTGAACTGTGGACCCATTGATTCCCAAGCCTGCATTTCCCATGCCTGACTTTTATTTGCAGCT